TGATGAGTTGATGTATTTTGAATTTAAGTGATAGTCACAATTGTTAAAGAAAATCAAACATATACACCAGTAATTAGTGTCACTTTTGAGAGAGAGAGATGAGTGCATGGAGAAGAGTTCAATAATTGAGCACTAGCTTTGGAGTTGCTTTCTATTTTTACTTTTTCTCTTGGATTCAAACTGTGGCACACCATTATTATACTCAAAAACCTAATTTCAAACAAAACTTGTAGCCCACTATGCATGCAAACGTGTTCATGGACATGATACATTTTGGATTCGATATGTTTAATCTCTGTTGGCTAATCATCCATCTCATCCATGTATGTTATGTATGCATGTGGGTTGGCTATGTTCATGGTCATGCATGCACATACAAGTCATTTCTGCAAAGTGGAATCTAAAGCATATTTTCACTCATATAAACAACTTTATTTGGTAGGTGGGGAGTTTAGAGAAAGCTTGGCATGAAAGAAATTAGACTTTTTCTAAAGCCTCCTTTTTTGCATGTCACCTTCAGCAGCCTTCCAAAGCTCATAGGTTTTAGAATTGTGGAAGCAATTCAATGCATGCACCGAGATCTTCTCTACTGCATTTTTTTTTATGATTACCGGTTGGTTTGGTCACAGCACCTTGTCGTTGGATCATTAGGTCACAGGTTTGAACTTCACCACCTTCTCTCCTTTAACTATCAATACTACATTTTCTTTTAGGTTTTTTTTTTTTATGATATATTACTAATTGTGTATTGTGATAGGACTCATTTATATATAGTGAATTTCGTTTAAATTCACAATGAACGAATCGAAACAAATCGAAAGAAAATATGTAAGATGTATTGACGAATGACCTATTAGTATATGAAAAATGCTACTTAGACAAAAAAAATTGACATAGTTTGCTGACCTAATGATGTGATTTCATTGGAACTATTAGATTAACATCAAGTTTCAATGTTTGATGGAGTTCACAATCAATTCAAAAGTCATGCTAAATTAGATCAACAAATTAGGTCAGTAAATTAGGTCTCAATAACATTGCTCTTAATATATAGCAGAACATACTTAAATTTATAATAAATGATATACTATTGAATAAAATTCAAAGAAAATTGTAGAGGGAATTCAAAGGAGCCTCTTTTTTTCATTTTGTTTTCTTTAAAGCATTTCAAGGCTATTGGTTGGCAGCCATTTCACTTTATGTCATAAGGCTGTCAAACTAACAGGACTCCACACAATGAGGGAATTCAAAAGTGAAACATTTGCATGGAATTGAGAAGCATTGACTTTCCCAAATTTTTATTCCAAATTCCAATTATGATTCCTTCAAATATGAATATACAGTGAGTATTTGAATTCAAATCTTTCAATTTAAAATTGATTACTATCTATTTAATAAGATATTTAGCATTTTAAATTTTATTCTCATATATATTTTTTTTCACTCATTTTATATCACATCATTCATTTTTATTATAAATTAAATTATTTAATTTTTAATTAATTTGTCGTCAATTCATAACATTAAATTCCATATAGTTTGAATGATTAGTCCTCTTTGTATAATCGAGCCTTTTAAGTGTTTTACTTCTCAAGATTAAATTATACATAAATTGCCCATAAATCTCATGGAGGACGGCGGACCACCCGGCCGGAGAAAACAAAAACAAGGAAACGTGTCAAAAGGTTTTCTTTGATTTTATTGGTTTCACTGAATTTTTTTGATTGATATGAATTTTTTTTATTGAATATCCGTAAATCATGGGATTTACTACTAGTTCGTGAACAAGTTGGTTGTGTGACAAATTTATACTAGAGAATGCTAAGTTGAAATTTTTAGCTATTTCCAAATACAATATGACTAGAAATGTCAAAAGATCCATGAGTGGAAGAAACATACATTAAAGTTGTGATGATTGGGACATCAAATTATTGAACCCTAAACTTTCTCATACTTTTTCAATCAATTGTCAATTCTAGCACATGGTATCCAAATAAGACAAAACTTGACTATCCATGTTTAATACATGCACAACTGGAGCGGGATCATCTAATAAGCGTCTTTACAGGCATAAGTTAAGAGTTCAAATATCCCACAAAGCATTAACCCCCTTAAAGCTACCGCCCATAAATTTATTCCATCATGTGAAGAGACGACTTTGCAGAAGGTCTAATACTTATCTAGTGAATGAGCATGATAACAATGTATTGCTCTAATCCATTGAAAGAGTAGAATTACAACAAAACAAAACAAAAAAAAGAAGTTTGTTTTCGGAGAAGCAACAACTATTAAGGAACTAGATGTTGTCCTGAAGACGTAAAGCATGTCAAAAGAATTGGAAAGAAAAGTTCAAAAGTTGACAAGTGTCCCGCAATTTCACTAGTTTTCACACTTTGACCTAACTTATTACCTAAACTTTTGGCTTTTTAATTGTCACAGTGGGGTTACATATATATTATTGCCATTGATATGAAATAAAGTTGAATCCTCTTGCCAGTAATTAATGAGAGATCTTTTCCCACAATACAAAATGCCTAGGCGTAACAAATTAAGATGTTACCCGCAAGAAATAATGATCCTGCTCACTTTCATCGTCGTCGTTGTTGAATAACCCATTTACAATAGAAAGATAACTCATAATTTATTAGTAGGAGACTCAATCATGTATAACAGGTTTTACTTGGATTCATAATAATTGATGTATCATTGACATAATTTAAACAAAAATACGTGAAGAAAACCGAAATATGTGCTAGAATATGGGTGAAGCTGGGGACTGCAAAAGGGAGGTGTATGTGGGGTGGAATGGTATCAACTATGTAACAACGAATGGTAAATCATTCCAATATTGACCCGTTCAAGTTCGCTTTGGTCTAGGTGTTTAATTATTGGAAGAACTTTAGTAATTAACAATAGAAATGCTTTTTAGCTGTTTTGTTTATTTATTTATTACTCGAATTAAGCATAGAGCATGCGGACTCTGCTCTTGCCCTCCTCCCATCCGCGAAGCTAAGGCAGGAGAAAAAGCGCAACTCCCTGGTGGCAAAGGTAGAGACAACTAAAATCAATTGGTCCAAGTATGTTATGTATACCGTATATCCTTCATATGTAAAGTTTGGAACATACATATATTTCTTGTTGATTCTAATTTAGTGTTGCTTTTTAACTTTGGAATATCCTAATGAACAATGGAGGCTTCCTAGACACCAACCCAAAAAAGAAGGGAGTTGCTTTGCGAAGATATATGTACATATTTTTTTAAAACTAAGAGAAAAGGGCAAAAGCATAGGTTAAAAAAGGGTTTATTTCTGACAAGAGGTCCTTCAATAGGCTCACTTTAACATTGTGGAATTGTGTCAGATCATGATTCTAAATTTGTAGTGCCTCAACCATATTAGTGGTTGTTGGCCTAATGACAACTGTTTCACTGTTAAATTTTAAGGTCACGAATTTGAATTTCGTCGTTCTTTTCTTTATAATATTACCTAATTGAAAAAAATCATTCAATGATCATTCGTCGCAACAAGTTTTGTTGTTGAATTGCCAGCTATCAGGGGTAAACAAGAGTTAGATACTTTTTCTTTCCCAACCCAAGATTGAAAAGAATAAAATAAGTCAAACTGACATAATTCTTTATAAACTAACATGAAAAAACAGTGAATCCGATAATTATATACAAAAGATCACATTTTTCAGATTCAAAACTTTTGTTTACGATGTATTTTAATTATGAGATATATGATAGATAAATCTATATCCGATTGTTATGCTACATGGAAATACTTTTGTTCAAATGCATTATAGCTTTAGATGCAACCACTTTCCGCTTAAGTGATGGTGTCATACATTACGTGGACAAGGAAAGTCTCTTGAGTCTTACAGAATGAAATATCTGGACTTGACATAGTGGGATTGGGTGAGGCCATTTTTTTTGTTTATTACATGATAAACCGACTATTCTCTTGAACTCAGATATTGATCAACATAGCTCCAACGGGTTTAAAATATGTCCCTTGAAGAACAAGAGTGATTAATCTTTAAAGGGTACATAAAGTATTAAACCTGAGACTTATGAGTTATCAAAAGACTGGGTGAGGCCATGTTTGTAAATTAATATTGCCTTAATCATATTCGTGTGACTGTTTATTAACTCATATGATAATTCTGAAGAATAATAACGATATTTATTGCAACTTTTAGAGATGGTTCGTGGCAATAAGTTCTTGATGCAGCGTACATGATTGCAAGCAAGCACGAGGCAAGGTATATCAAAGTTGGAGCCTTTTCCCCCAATACAAGCAAAGAATGAAAGAATAAGAAAACAACAAAAAAAAGTTGTCACAACTCTCAATAAAAGTCTCTAATGGGTACAAACTCTTATTTGAATGAAATGAAAAGAAAAATGTGATCTTTACTAGTACAATAATTGAGTCGATAATTAGTACAAAAGATTGCTCTCTAGAAAAAAAAAATTGAAAAGAAGTGATATATACAATCTTACTAAGAATTATTATGCTTTAGAAATCTTGTACTATATGCTTTGACCTGAGAAAATGGTGCCATGCATCGTTTACGAAGATTTTTTTTGTTGTTGTCAGAAGCGTTTGGACTAATTTATGCATCTCGATTAATCATTTCTCTAGTTCGATTAAAGATAAATCATTCATGTTAAAATTAGAATATTCATCATTTGAATAAGAGAGCAGTACTTAACTCAACAAAAACCGAAATCTCTAATTTTTTTTTGTTCATATGTTTATTAAAAATTTGACTTAAAAAAATACAAAATTTGATTGACACACAAATTAAGCATAAGCTTGTACAACCTTGTACCCTGCAAACATTAATCATCCAGTTTACAAGTCTTCGTGTTGTAACCATGCATTTTCTATCTTATTGCGACGCTTGGGTTAGAGACCCATATGACCATTACTATATCCCAAGGACAAAGATTGAAGTATTTAAGGAGTCTGAATCTGACGAACACTCGCCGGAACTTTTCAACGCCTCCTCGAAGTAGCCGCTGCATTTTGACGGCGTAGATCACTGTAGAACTTCATTATGAACTTCTCAGCAGCCTCATCCACATGGTTGTCTTCTTCCACCTCCCGTAACGGAAACGGAGAGTCCGTTACCCTCAGCTGCCTCACCATCGGACTCCGCCCAAACCCCGGCAGAGCAGGCGACGCAGCCTCGCTGTTCAGCATCTCTAACGCCTTCACAACCGCATTAACGGTCACTAAGTCATCGTCAGTGGGCGGCGCGTGAGCACAAGGGAAAAGGTTAGAGTGGTGGGGCTTGCGTTTGTTGAGGTTGAAGAGGAACTGGAAGTTTGGGTAAGCTGGGCTGTTACTGCAGCTGAACTCGTACTCACCACCGGCGGGTGAGAAAGAGAGGTGGCCATCGTGTGAGTGGCGGTTGAAGGTGGCGGAGGAGGAGGCGGAGGACCAGTTGTGAGCGTGGTGGAACATGAGGTTCTGTAGTGCCTTCCCGGCAATTTTGCCTCGTTTCATCATCAGGTTGAGATCAAGCATTAATTTTCGCTTTGATATGCCTTTCCTCAGCATGAAGAAAGCCACACGAACTATGCTCCAAAATTTCTTTGCTAGCACTGGTATATTTGGTTCCATCTCTATAATTTTGGTTCACTTTCACTTTCACTTTTGGGTGCTGATTTTCTGTTCTGGAGAGAGGGAGAGGGAGAGGGAGAGGGAGAGAGGAGCTAAGTCAATGGAGAGAAGGAAATTTAGATGTGGGACGAAGCAAAGGAGAGAGGTAAGGGGGTATTTAAAGGCCCCGGAAAGAGAAGAGGGGAGACACTAAGGTTGTAAATTGTACATTAAATTTGACAGTTAATTATATTAGAGACCCTAAAATATAAAATTTGTTTATTTTAATCTCTAATATTTTAATTACATCATTTTAATTACTGAAGTATTGAATACGTTTTTATGTAGTACTTCAAACAGACAATATTCAAATTATTAATAATTTTTTATCATAAACTTATCATGTGATACTTAAATATGGGTAAAAAATAATTTGGGTAACTCTTGACCATAAATACGAAATATGAACAGCACTTGACCAAAATTTGGATAGATCATGATCAAAACTATGTAATTTTGGTAGTTCTTTGAACAAAATTTAGGTAAAAATTTTGTCAAATATTATTCAAATTATTTTTTTGACTATATTCCGTGACAAGTTTATAACCACAAAATATTAGTAATCTAAACACTGTCTGTTTGAAAAACCACATAAAAATATATTTAATATTTCAGAGATTAAAATGATGCAATTGAAATATTTACAATTAAAATGCAATAAATTTCACACTTTAGGAACTTCTAGTGCAATTAATCATAAATTTGAAACTAGAATGATTACCGGCAGGTGCATGGATCCTTCGGGGTTACTTTATTTTAAATTTTATATGATAAATTAGTAGTGAACCGGTGAAAAGTTGAGCTCAAGCGGAGTTTTTGGTCGGTTTCTTTGGTTCAAATGAAGCGACTGCTGTTATTGTTTCTTTTTGGGTGAATGGTCTTCTTTCTTTTTGCGAGTGGAGTTGATCACATAGGATTTTAACTCTATTAACAGTGTAAATCTTTCAAATTAAACACTGTGATGCATGTATTCTTTGTTTAAGTAAATATCATTACCACAACCTAAAGCATTACTTCATATTCATTTACTTCCAAACCAAGTTAGGCAAGCAACCCCTACCCCTCCTAATGAAAATAAAAAACAACAAACAAAATTGTACTCAATTTCTCAGTAAAACACAAATAAAGATAAATTCACTTCGTTTTCATAACTTCAATAATTTAGATTTGTGTGTTAGTGATATAAGTCGATTTAGGCCGGGCTATCACATTTGAATTACAATGTGAATTATTTTGAGAGAAATGTTAGTGACCGTTAGATGAGTTTATTTGAGATTATCGGATAAATTTATTGAATTCTGTCATACTTTATATTATAGATGTTATGTTGAATTCATGTTATAACTTTTTAATCTACCAAAAAAAAAAAGAATTTATGTGTTATGTGAATGAATTGTATTGAGTTTGTGGTGTGTTTTGCTATTTTTGATTAATTAGTGGGTTAGAAATTGTAAGGCTATAACCTTTTTTTTTTTTTTTT